CGGCGACCGGTGACGGCGACTTCCGATGGCCGCCGCTGCTGCTTCTCCGATGGCCGCCGCTGCTGCTTCTCCGATGGCCGCCGCTGCTGCTTCTCCGATGGCCGCCGCTGCTGCTTCTCCCGATGGCCGCCGATGCTGCTTCTTCCGATGGCCACCACTGCTGCTTCTCCGATGGCCGCTGCTGCTTCTTACAGCAACTACATCACGAATTTGAAGAAACTCTTCAAATACCTTTCTTCTTGTTTCATGCAAGTAAGGAATTATATTTTGATGGTGGTTTCGTACTCGATTTCGCCAACAACTTGATTAATTGAAGTACTTATTAGGGATTTTAATGAAGTATTATGATTTATTTCGAGAGTTTACATTGATTATGATTGCTGAATGTTGTTGTTGTTGTTGATGAATTAGTAGGGCTGTAGTGGTAGTAGTACCAGTGTTACCAGAATGCATTTCGTCGTGAAAAAACACTAAACAGCTCACTGGGGGTAAATTGGTCATTTTAACCAGTTCTATCCTGTCTTGTCCTGTCTTACCAAACGCTGAACAGCTGTCCTGTCCTGTCCCATCCTGTCCTGTCCTGTCATGTCCAGTCCTGTCTGCGCACCAAACGCACCCTGAAAGATCTGAAATTAATTCATTTGTTTATTAAATTACTAAAAAATAAATCCATAATATTTTAATAATTAAATCCATAAGTTGTGTGGTGGGACCACATAAAAAATATTAAATGAAAAATAATATTTATTTGTTGGGCATAAATTCCTTTGAAATATTTAAAGATTTTGATGATGGCATGACGAATGAGGATAATTTATGAATATTCCCTCTTGCTCACTTGATGTTGCACTTCTGAATTATTTAAAAATTAAAGTAAAAATCGTACCCAATTTATTTAAAATATTTAAATATGAAAAATATTTTAAAAAAATCTAACATAATTTTTTTATTTTAAATGATTAAGTATTGAATTTTTTTAATAAAATAAAAAATACTTTTATTCGTTTTAAATGAATTAATTATTGGTCTTTAGATAATTATTTTCCTATACTTTTCTAACAAAAAACCGTCTTGTGATCGGCTAAAGAGGTTTTAAAGTAAAACAAACAAACAAACCACAAATGGTGGTGCCTGATTGGTTTGAGCTTGTCTTCAAAGGTCAAAAGTATCAGGAGGTCTCATGTTCAAATTCAAGGAGGAATAAAAATTCATTTGTGACCATGGAGGTTCAAATGCGTTGACTACGGGCTATCAGCAAAGCAAGTGAGATTAATTGGCTCACATAGCGGGTTAGATATCCAAGTTAATAAAAAAAATTGATCAAATGTTTTCTTTAAGTTGATTACATCATCCTCATCTTCGAGGTCCAAGAATAAAGAATTTGACATATATTCACTTGATTATCGCTTGTATCATAGCTAGAATCATCACTGCAATCATCGTTGCAATTAGATCCCATTATTTAAACAAAAATAGCAACGACTTCATCACGATTCACAAATGAAAACAAATTCTATCATATTCTAGTAAACAATTCAAAACCTCAACAACATTATTCAACACATAAATTTTTTGTTTAATCATTAAAAATGTCACCATTTTATGTAATTGATACGGCTAATTGCATATGTATACATATTTGCCCAAAATTTACTTAACTAACTGCATCTGCAATTTTGTCAGGATCTGCCCTCAAATCCCACTAGAGAAATTGGTAGAATTTGAGAATTTGTTGATGCAAATAAAAGACCAGTAGACTTCAATCATACTTGAGATATAAGTAATCAAACAAAATTGAACCAACTTGAGTAACAAACCGAAACCTGAGAAATCATGTATCATCAATATTTTACACACATCATAAACTATAATTTGTATGTATTCCTTAATTAACGATCGAATGGGCTATGACTGTAATCAAACTCGGGAAATCAATCTAACCTAAGAAATGAAACAAAACTGAACCAACCTAAGTAATGAACCGAACCTGAAAAATCAAAGCACATGACCTTGACATGTGAGAAATAGAACCACACAGTCGGCCTAGACTAGGAGTGGTAGCGACGACCTGGAATGGTGGCGATGGTAGGCTGGGCTGAGGGAGGTGGCAACAACGACGAAGGATTGGGCTGAGGGAAGCGTGACGACGATCAATGGAGAAGAGGAGTGGGGGAGTGTGAGGGGAGCGTTAATGGGGCATAAGATTCACGATTAGGATGGTTTTTAAGGTTATTCAAATTTGTAGTTTTACCTAATATACAAATTGCAAGTTGCATTTTTAAGTAATAAATAATTATTTAATATATTTAAAAAAGTCTAAAGATTTATTAACATGTTTTGAAATGTCCAAGAATTTAATCGTTCCAAACACTAAAATTGATTGACTTTTTTTTAACTTTTCCCTTATGGAATCGAAAAGCTTGACTATAGAAAATGTTAAACGATGTCGCATTAATAGATATGCATGACGCTTGAATTGCTAGTGTTTTTAATGACCATTGATCAATATGTGTTTATCTTGTTTTCAGTCTTTTTTATTAATATTTGTTTTTCCCGAGTAATAACATTTTATGACAATATCAAATCCTTAATGAACTAACCATAAGGGTGGTGGCTGATTGGTTTGAGCTTGGCTCCAAAGGTCAAAAGTACCAGGAGGTTCCAAGTTCAAATCTAAGAAGAAATAAAAATCCCTTTGTGGTCATGGAGGTTCAAATGTGGTGACTCTGAACTATCTGCAAAGTAGGTGGTCGCCCTGAGATTAGTCGGCTCGCATAATGAGTTAGATATCCAGGTTAATAAAAAAAATAATCCTTAGGGTGTGTTTGGTTTGCAGGAATGTTTCTGAGGAATTTGGATTCCCAGGAGGGATTTGGATTCCATGGGATTTGGATTGAATTGGATTTAAAATTCATTCCAGTGTTTGGTTTGCAGGATTTGGATTGGATTTGAAATCCATTCCAATGTTTGGTTTGTAGGATTTGGATTGAGATTATGATTACATAAATTGATCATGCTTACATCAATCTGAAAATTTACAAACTCTACTAGCCCATAAAATTATGATACAAATAAGTAAATATGCTTAATAAGTGGACCATTACATGGTTTTCTGCTAATTGAACTCTGTATATTTGGTTGTTCATCAAATTAAACATGTAATATAGCATCAGAACCACGCCGATGGAGGAGAAGGTTGAAGAAAAGACATGCATCTGGGAGAAAGCGACGGAGACGACGGTGGGAGAAAGCCACGGCGATGGAGACGACCTCGAGGGAAAGCGACGGAGACGACCTCGGGGGGAAGCGACGGCGACGAAGACGACCTCGGGGGGAAGCGACGGCGACGAAGACGACCGTGGTGGGAAGCGACAGCGACAGAGATGACTGTGGGAGAAAGCGACAGAGGTGAGCGATGAAAATGGAGGAGAAGATGGAGACGGGTAGGTTAGGGCAAAAAGAATCCCACAGGAATGGATTCTAAAATACCATGTCTTTCCAAAGGATTCTTAAATCCATCGTTCATGGGATTTTAAATGAATCCATGGATTTTAAATCCTACCAATCCTACAAACCAAACACAGGATTGAAATGGATTTTAAATCCAAATCCCTCCAATTCCATTCCATTTCTACAAACCAAACGCACCCTTAATGAACTTTAACACTCGGCCAGAATCAACAAGATCCAATAAATTGGGACCGACCAAACTGGGCTATATCCGACTTTTTGCACACCCCTAGTTTTCAGTTAATTAAAACTGGAGGATATTGGATATACAGAGGTGTTGCTGAAAGCACTAGCCTAACTGAAGCAACCGACATTACTTTAACTGAGAAGAACGTACAATACTTCAAAAAGACATTAACAAAAAACAAGTTAATAAATATAAACTAAGAATCTATTTGTTTTTTTACCTCATCAGTTAAAAAACAAATTGAATAATTTAAAAGTCCTATAATCATATACAAAATATAAAAGAATATTAAAGATGAAGATCTTTTTTTTACCTCATTATTGTTGACATTCAATTTTTAATCTCATGTCCACCTATGAATTGTATTTTAGAAGGGTATTGATTCGGTGTATCTCGGTATACTTCATTATTGTTGACATTCAATTAAGATTGATTCAAAGATGAAGATATTTTTACATTTATCACTATAACTCTACCCTCAAATACAAACCTAATAAATCTATACTATATTATAAAATATTTGACAAGAACTCTTAAAAACCATGTTTCATGCATGATTTACTTTTTATTGATGCATATTACTTAAAATTTTAGATTACAAGTAAGTTGTGCATAAGTACAACTTATTAAAGCTTCATGTTTGAATTTGTGTAACTAATTGCGGATAAACATAATCAAATTAAAGATAAACATCTCATTTTAAACATAAAAATCTAAAATACAATTAGGGTAGTCATTGACTTCTAACAAAATACTTAGTTATTATATTTATAAAAAAATATATTATTAAACCAAAAATAAATAAAATTAATTAAATAAATACACAAAAAAAAAGAAATTTTAAATAGTTAGTTTGATACTAATACCATTTTTTTCAATTTTTATGATATTTTCATATTTATATTTTATTCAAAAATAAAAACATTATCGCTTTCTTAAAACTACATAAAACTTATTATAACATTGACTGAGACAAATAAAAAAATAAAACGAAACAATAAAATTAAGATACATCTCACTGCATTATACGAATACTCTTCTAGTATTACAAAGTCATAAAAACGACTTTAAACTGTTTGAGTTTTTTATGCTCTTGAAAAAGATATATAAAAATAAGCAAACATGATATCATGAATTCTAAAGGGGTATAGATAAGAAATAAAGAATTGTGAAGGGGTATATAGATAAGCATTAAAGAAGTCAGGTGGCAGAGGAATCCGAGTCAGCAGGGTGGTGGGCCCTACCAAAACCCAACTCCGCCGTATAGCTAGGTCATACTCTCTCACGTACGGTCCTCACACAGTCGTTCCTTTAGAACCCTTCACCGGAAAAAAAGAAACATCCAACAGATCTCTCACCGCTAAATTCTTACTCAAATAACTCCACTTTGATCGTCGATGGCCATGGAAGACAATGAAAGTTGTGGCAGTCGAGCCGTGGAATCGCCCAAAAAGAGCCGACAACGACGTCAGAAACTCGAGGTTTATAACGATGTTCTCACTCGATTGTACGACATGAATCATGAAGATACCAAACATCCTGATTTCGAAGACCAGTTATGGATTCACTTTAATCGCCTTCCTCCGAGGTAATCTTCATCAATTCAGTGTCCAATTTGATCATAATTTTGTTAGAAATGAGGCCTGAAGTTATTGTTTGAGAGCTATGAAGAGACTAGAGAGGTTTGTAATTGACATAATGTAATATAGGAGGTATTATTGTCCCTACGTGTTTGTTGATACGCTGTTTTACTGCGTACGGAAGGGTATTAATTTTCGTTTATGTGATGTGATTGATTTTTACGATATGTTTTTTTTTGCTGGGACAGATATGCGCTGGATGTGAACGTAGAGAGAGCTGAAGATGTGATCACGCACAAGAGGGTTTTGCAGATGGCCGAAGATCCTGCCAACAGACCTGCATTTGAAGTCCGCTTAGTGCAGGTAAAAATGAACTAAAAAGTTAATATAGGGATTTGTATGGGTTCTATTTGAAAATTAACTTACTAGCAAGTAGCTCACTGCTTAGCACATTGGTTGGCATCACCAAGTAAGTTGTCTTTTTAATGGTTCTTGGCTTTGGGACTTCTCATAAGTTAGTGTCGAAATTTGTTGATTTTTTTTAAGGTTTGTCCTTACGATGCTTAGAGTTTTGAGGATGACATCTCTGTGTAATTAATGTTCTTTCATGAGAGAGGGAGAGGCAGAGGCAGAGGCAGAGGGAGAGGGAGAGGGAGAGGGAGAGGGAGAGGGAGAATCACCTTGATCAGATTGGTTATCTTCTCTTAAACTTCTTCATTATCTTTCCTGGAGACTTGCAATTTCCTTAGGGTTGTAAATTGCAATAGTCCCTTCATGCTTCAATTCCGTTTCACCTTATCTCTTTAATTGAAATTGGATCCAGAGAATGATTTCAAAGGCCTCACTGAAAAAGAAGAGAATGATTTGATTTTTGTGCGTGGTTTTAATGAATATGGTCTCATGTGACGGAAACCAATAGATTACGATAAGTGGTCGGTAAGGATTGAGGAGAAGAAATATGTTGCAATTGGGGCTGCCCTCAACATCACTTGTCAGGATCTCCCTAAAAGTTCAAAGGGATAGGAAAATACTTTAATTTGGAAAAGAGAGGTGAAAATATTCTTATCAAATGTGAAAATATCAGCATTTGAGTCAGTTAACCTTATCATTCATGAATGATATACCTTCATCATGCTACTTTATGTAATCTGAGGAGTTTGACCTTAGCTGTCACTCTTGCTTTTGAGCATGCACAAGCTAACAAGTATGAATGTGCATAATGTACACCATGGGATGAGTGTCGTACATGTCAAGATTGTAATTGCATTTAGGAGTTGCTGAGGGGCATTGTGCAATTGTTTAATAGTTAGAATGTGTGTCATTAAATGATGTAAATAATGGAAAGCACAGGAATAAGACTTCACATTCGTTGCTTTTATGTTAAAGTTGAACATGTTAACTACCTTTTGTATAAATTCCACCGTTGGATTGTGCGTACCATGATAATTACCACAATCTCTTTCTTATTCATCTAGTTTCTTTTCAATTCCTTTCATTTTACCGGAACGTAATCCTTGTAGGTTTATCTTGTTCTTTCATCAAAAGGCGTCAAAGTCAGACAATTCATTAATAGTATATTAACATTTCGATAACATGCCCAGATGTTAATTAAATCACATTCACAAGCCCAGGTGTCTCCTTTTGTTGCCCAGATGTTAAACTCACAAATGAAGTTTACAAAGAAAAAAAGGTAACTAAGAGAGAGAAGGAGGCTACAAGTGTTAGACACTTGTTAGCATCATCAGTTGGGTTCTTTAGCTGAAAATAGGGAGGGGGGGGGGGTAACAGTCACATGCACCATTCCTAGACAGGACACAGTTTAGGTAGCACAAGCAACACCAATTATAAGAACAAAACAAATGTAAAATATAACCAAACTTATAAATCGACACCTCTGCTTTACTTTGATATGTAAACAGTTAATTACATTTTTAAAGTATGGGTGTAAAGAACAAGCCACTACAAGTTGAATATTACGATACTTGCAAATCCATGTATCAAAGTAGAATTTAGGTACATCCGAACTAGAATATGGCTTCCATCTGAAACTAATCTGGTGAGCTAGAAATTAAACTGAAAGGAATTTCAAAGCTGTGCATGCAAACATAAAAGGGGAACACCCCTAGGATTCTGGGACACAAATAGCAAAGATACATGTACTCCTATCGAAGGCCAGCTCCTCATGGATACCCCACTTAGGAAATCTCTTTTCATTATTTCCCCATGCGAACCTTGGTGAACCTCCACTTCTCTGAAAGACCTCCTGTTGGTATAGTTTCTCCTAACGTGTGCATTCGATGATCTAAGTTGGGGACAATTTCTTTTTTTGAAACGGAAAGAAAATATATGGAGACCTTTGATGTGTCCCTAATACCTTCCACCACCCCCATGAAGATACTGACTTAACTGCTTTGAAGTCTCATCTCACCTCTCTGAGTTTCCGATTGTGACATCATGTATGTTTTTTTTATCTCGATGAGAAATTGGCTTAGAATCTGTGTTGGTGATAGAGCACACAAAGAGACAGTAGGATCAGTTCCGAACAGAAAAGGAACAGCGATAGCAAGTATTAACGTGCATATGGTGGCAGATGAGTCAGGAGCAGGGCGATATAGTGTCAGTGGCTCTCAAATGGTAACCGAGATAAAAGTACCCAATTTTCTGCTGATTGATGAACAGCTTAATTTTTTTGCCAAAAGAATTACACTCGATCTACTTTGATAAACTAGTATGCTGTTTCCAGCATTATTAATTCCAATGTGATCAAGGTTCTCTTTTAAACACCAACACATGATTAGTATGTTAAAAACAGGAATGGATGTTCATGACATGACATTCCAAAATAAAAGGCCGGGGAGTCAGTTTTGCATATTCAAGTATATTGGTCAACCAAAGATATATATATATATATATATATATATGCCTGTGGATGGGAGGTCCATATGTTTGTTATACTCTCTTAAGCATGCGGATAGAGGTGGACATAAAACACATTATCATGTGCTTGTGCTTTCTTATTGCTTTAGGGAATAATGTTCTTCTGCACATGTATATATACACGTATGGCAGTCTTTGTGAAACATGAATCTGTACATCCGTAACTTCCATTGTGCTCTATTCTTGGCAATATTCCTCTCCTCGAATTAAGTTGAACAATACGGGTTCATTGATTCTCCCTGGATATGAATATGTTGAAGGAACACATAAGGATTATCTGGGTATTTCTTGAAAATTTATAGGTTGCTTTCTTGATTATCTCTTGATGTTACTTCTGTCTTATGCAAGGAATATCTTATATAGGTCCATCCTACCTCAGATGGGAACACACCTGATTTGGACAACATGGAATTTTCAATGAAAGAAGATGCTCAAAGTCCTTCAACTTACAGCAGCAGAAGCGGGTATTAACATAATAACAATTATGTGTGCTATTTTCTGCTTTATCTTTGCATGCTTAAAATATTTATTTCTGTATCTGTTACTCTTATTACTTGTTGCTTGTCCAAATGCTGTTTGATATATGAAAAGACATGCCCAACTATTTTTATTTGCTAGATTTCCATTTAATTTTTTCCCTAACTTATTGTTCTTCATTGTGCTATTATCTCTCCGATGATTTATATGCTCTTTAGATTGCACCCCCCGTCTTTTGGCTCTGCACCAAATCTTGAAGCGCTTGCACTTAAAGCCAATAAACATCATGACAGTTATGCTGACAATGATGTGACTTCAACTTCAGTATTTTCTAGGTAAATCTGTTTCTAACTTGTTAATGCTGCATCCAGTAGTCAAGAAGCAATAGATCTTGTAATACCTTATTGGTGGATTGCTTAAAATATATTAAAACTATCGTGCTACAAGATGGTGCCATTCACATTTACTAACACAGCCATTAGAACTTAACTGGTGCACCCACATATAAACATCTGTATAATACTGTGTGATAAATTCTACCTTTTTTCTTTTTCTATTTTCATATTTGTCAAAGAAGTTCTTACTTAACATGCTGCCTCGTTGTTCTTTTAATTTTAACTGAACAGCTCTAGAGCCTCATACAATTTGATTTTGGAAATTATGTATGACTGCATAATAATAATATAGTATACTCTTACAAATTGTACATGTGCGGATTTATGCAGTGTTCTGCTAAAAGGTTAACAAGTTACATACATGCACCTCCATATGGCTTTCCAATTAACAAAAAATTGTTTTCACCTTCCTTCTCTTGCTGATATGTCGTCTTTTATTCAAGATGATCCTTCTGATAAAACGATCTAATGAACCGATTTTCCCAATTGAATGTCAGTTTTTTGTACCTATTCTTCTAAGGAGTCTTTCAAGTTGTGATTATAAAATAGCGTCCCACTAAATGTGCTTTCTGAATTGGGATAGTGCAGGCCTATGCATGAGATCACGTTTTCAACGATAGACAGGCCAAAGCTCCTAAGTCAGGTATTAAACAATCCCCTTTTTGTGTTCTCTTGGTGCATAATTAGCTGTTTATTTTGAAGTCTGAAGCTGCATATGCTGGGAGAAAAGGATCTTACAGAACCTCCTTACTTTCTATTATGATAATAATGTGAAAGGGAACATGCTTGCGTATTAGACAATATACAGTTCCTCAAAGCAAACAGACAGATTATTAAACCATTAGAGGCATGTGGTTCCATGCATGTAAGAATTTGGAGATAGTTCTCTCTTTAGCAACTGATTGCTACTAGCAGTGAAGCACTTGTACGGTATATCAACTATGTAAAATAAATCAAAAGAACATTTTACTTGTCTTAGAAAAAAATGTCTATGAAGCGGTGGAGGCTCTCAATGGATGCGGAGAGGTACCAAGTTAAGGAAACTTAAGATTTAGTAATTCTTATGCACTGTTATCATATTTACATGCAAAAAAGGTACTCAAATTTCAAAATTTTGGCATCTTTATCAAATCTGCCCCTGGTCTTACAATAAGGCATGGAGCATTTTATTTGCCGATGGTGGGTTTGTCCCTAGCTCAACAATTCTTTGTTGGTCTTTGATACTCATTCAGACTTGGACATTCGTCTATGTTTTTGGGTTTAGCTTACGTTAGTGAATGTTGAAACTTATGTGGAGGTGAAGGTTAGGAAGGTTTTATCCATTCCATGTAGGTAGAAAAGCAAACAACTGGTGGGTTCATATATGTTATTGCTACTGCTGTTACTAATCAATCCCGCAAACTGCATCAAATCCCTGGGTTTTAACGGCTTGAGACTTGCAATGCAAAGAGGTGTCGTATAAGTCTTTAAGAACAGAATTTTGATCTGCGTGGTTTGCTTCTTTATTTCGTGATAAAGGTTAATATCTACGTTGTGCGTTTTGTGCGTTATGTCCATGACATTAGTGGACCTCTGCTTCTACTCCCTTCTTTTGATTAAGTTGATCGTGTATGATCATCATAATTGTACAGCATAAATCCTGGTTCTAATTAATTCAATAATTTTTCAACGTTTTTAAGGGTTTAGAATTTCAGCAAATGGAATTCGGGGGCTCCTTTCATAAACTTCATGAACCAAGATTTTGCCAAGTTGGACAAATTAGACGGTTGTAACTATACGAGATGGGCTGACAAAATGAAATTCTTGTTGGTGGTTCTTAGTACCCCACTACACTCCACATGCTAAATTACCAAGTGATGGGTCCCAACATATATGAACCCACCATTTCTTTGCTTTTCTTCCAACCTTCACCTCTACGTAAGTTCCCAACAGTAGACCGCCGATGGTTCGATTTGGAGGCCTTGTCCATATGGCCCCTCTTTGACTTGTATGTACGACTCAGTTTTTGCAGTGTTCTGTTTTCACATGTATATATCTAGATATCGTTCTCTATCAAGGTAAACTGTTCCAAGTCTTGTGAAAAAAGACCATCACCATTTTGCCTTGTTTTTCTTTTGCCTTGAGGGAAAGAGTTTCACTATTGTGACAGCTTATTGCAGTTTAGTTATTTATTGTCCATACGGAAGCTGGCAGAAACCCTTTTGGTGTTCCGAAGTTGTGCTTCTCGGGCAATCGCTGAAAACTTGGCTTTATGTTTTATGTTCTGTATGATGAACTTCTTATATGTGCACGAAGGTCATAAATTGAGTGATTTCAGCCTTAATGTTATGATTGTACATCTGAAAGATGAGAAACTAGTTAATTGCAGGATTACTTCTATAGAAAGGCTGGCTCACTTTTCCTAATGTGAGATTTGTATTATTGTGAGAAATTTAGAGTAAGCTACTTATTTATCAATTCTGCAGTTGACTTCCTTGCTTTCCGAGGCTGGATTGAATATTCAAGAAGCACATGCTTTTTCCACTGCTGATGGCTTCTCCTTGGATGTCTTTGTTGTTGATGGATGGCCTCATGAGGTAGGGTCTTAGTTGTCTCTAGATGACTGAATTGAATTCCAATTAGACAAAATATTATTTTCATCGACATTGAATCTTTTCGTCGTCGTGGCATGTATGAGTATTATTTTAAATGGAAAATATGCATGCTAACACTCGTTTTATAAACTGGGTAGATTCAAATTAAAGCGTGTGCAGTAGCAGTAGATAATAAGAACAGACAATAGAACACCCAGGCTGTTATGTCAAGAACAAAGGTGCAGTCCTAGACTATGGTTGAAGTTAACGAGTTGTAATTTCTCATGTATCTCTTCTGTTGAAGGCTCCTCTTTCAGATGCTCTCCATTGCCCCCTTCTCTATTATTTCTGGTCCCATGTTAGAGAGATAGGGGTGGCTTCCAAGCAAATTACAGTTCTTGGTATACAACTCATGTGATTTTGGTCGGTTACGATTCTAATGGTACTAGGTCACATGTTTGGCATACAATTGACAAGCTGTAAGCAGAAGTCATTAGTTTCGGAAAGTATGTAGAAATCTGGGAAAACATTTGTGGACTACATTCATGAGTAGAAAATTATTTTAGAAGCAGTTTTAATCAGCAGTTGTTACTCATAAAATTTGGAACCATTTTCATGTTTGTGCTTTGTGGTTATGCTGATTGATTGAAGTCTTCTTTTGTAATATAATGCTTCATTGCTTTGTTTAACCTCCATGCTCCAGTTTATTAATTAAAAAATTCTCATACAACTTTGTATGTAACCTTCGTAGTAATGGTGTTAAACTTACGTTTGGACTAGCATGTAAATAGAATCAAGGAGGAGGATAAGTAACTCCATTACGTTTGTGTCCTAATTTTATTTCTTATATGATATTGGCTTCCTATGTCATGATCATCAATGTATACTGACTGGTTTTGGCAACTTCTAGGAAACTGCAGAGCTCAGAAATGCAATAGCAAAGGAGATTATGAAGGCTAAGGTAGTTTTTTTTGGGCACTTGGTGTTTTGCAATATTAACCTTGCAACTTCATATGCAGTTTCATCTGTTATTTTTTTTTTCAAGTATATAATATTTATATACAGGAAATACTCACGCACACTTCTTACCTTTGGTGAGGTTTGAACCATCTCCTGGGAGGCTGGGCTCTACCTGTAACCTGGGTTACCGCTGGGCCAAGGACCCTTTGGTTTCATGTGGCATTATTCCTGATGCTATACGAAGCTGGTGTTTGGTTCTTTTGTACTTGATAACAGATAATTACATGTGAAGGTGCTGGGGACTGATAAGTCATTTCTTGTTAGAGTTTGGTTGTTCTTAAGAGAGAGACATACTGAGGGAGTGTGATTTGTTATTTGCCTATAAGATTAAAGTGCATTTAATACCTTGTACGATATAATATTTTATTGGTCCTTTCTTTTCATCAAAATAATTAAGGGTCAGCTCATGGTTCTACTTACTATAGATAAACTAATGTCATAATTACTAAAAGTACCAAGTGCATTAGGTCAGGTGGGCATGGATTGGGGACTGCCTAGATGTTAGGCCCACAGCTCAAGCACATACATTGGGGCCTTAGGCTCCAAGTAAAAGGAAGGTGCACCAAAGCACATGCATTCATGAACCATATCTGAAAGGGAAAAAGTTCTATCTAGAAATTTATATACTGCTTTTCCATATGCTCTGGATATATGGAAATGGAACCTCTGCAAAAATAGCTTTCCTTATGGCATTTTATGACCTAGGGGAAGGTTTGAGATGACACCGGTGGGGAAGAAGCTCATGCAACAAGGGAAGGTTGAGATGATGCCAGTCGGGGAGAAGCTCAAGCAACATGGCCTGAAGATGGTTTGATAATATCTAATGCAGACCTTTGATGCATCATTTAGAATAAGCGACTGGGACCAAGAGGACGACATTTGAAGATATTGGGTAGGCAAAACCTAAGAAGCAACAATTAGAAAATTGAATGAGGGGAATGTAACATCTGAGTCTGCCTTTGATAAGTGTGTGTGGAAGGATGCTATATATTTTCAGGAGTCCCTGGAGGGATTTTGCATCTATAACTTTTGTCAGATTCCCAGTTTAGTGTACCCCAAGTAGTTTGGGATGAAGATTGCTGCAACTTGTTTTGATTTACTGGGACACCTGTGTAAGTGTGATCATTTACAATTTCTCTGCAGGGGGAGCCTTATCTTGAAAAGCACTCATCATCTGCTATAAGCAAACCTGTTCCAATACCAAGCGACTCTGTGTCTTTGAATGATCATGTTAAGATACCTACTGATGGAACTGATGTATGGGAACTCGATGCCAGTATGCTGAAATTTGAAAATAAAGTTGCATCTGGTACTTTTGGTGATCTGTAAGTTTTTGAACTCAAAACCTTCTTTCAGAATCTGCAAAGTCTTCATGGCTCTAATATTTATAATATCCTCAGATATAAAGGCACATATTGTAGTCAGGAAGTGGCTATTAAAGTTCTCAAGCCAGAACGAATTGATTCAGACATGCTAAAAGAATTCTCTCAAGAAGTTTTTATTATGAGGTTTGCATTTATTCTAATTTGGCTTTCTAACTTTCAAGTTTGTGCTTGTGGTGTTTGTTTACCCTCCAGCATTCTTCTACTCCATAACTTGCTATTTTTATATTCTATAAAATGGTGAGAGTATTTGAATTTGTCTTGCTGCAGCTCTCCTTTTGGGCACAAAGTAGTTCGGTACTGATTTTGTTTCTCAGATTTGTGTCATCTTTTAAACATCGTTTTGTTTTCCTTTGAACACATTAATGTCACTTCATTGATGCTGTTACCTGCAGCATACAGTGTTGGCAAACTTCTCCAATAGCTTATGGTTCTAAGCTGTTGATGAATTTGTGTGGCATTATAGCGCTTATCCCACAAGTGCATTTGAACAAGTTTCTGGATATTGCTGCACATTTTTCTGTCTCATGACTGGCAAGTTTAGTCCTGGGAACTGTTGAGTTTTATGACATTGTAGACCCGTCTTTTGTATATATTTGGTCAGAATTTTGATATTTTATTTTATTTACAGCAAAAGTTGTGTTTGTCAGATTGGTTGTCCTTCTGTAGTTCTGCTATGTAGAAACAATTTTGTTTGCTCTCAATTGCCTCCTTCAGTCACTGGAAATCTTGCACAGAATTTCTTCTGTTTTCATGTTGGGTTTGTTGGACACTTGTCTTAGACATGTCATCTAAGAATCAGTCATTTGGTTCTTCTAATTGCAGTACCATTACTAAATCAGTAATATCTTTACCAGTCAAGTAATTGCAAGTTTTTTGAGATGTGTGTTTATTATTCCTTAGCATTTTCTAGTCTTTGACATCTGGTTATGTTTTCCCTTATTTCCCCTCCCTTGGCAGGAAGATTAGACACAAGAATGTTGTCCAATTCATTGGAGCATGTACAGAACCTACGAAACTGTGCATTGTAACTGGTAATGTAATCAATATACAAAAGCTATAGCATTTTATTGGTACTTAGCTGGAGGCTATTTTTGTGATACATCACTCAACTATATTTAATTTTATATATTTGAATTACACTTGGTTTTGTCTCTGTTTCTGTAGAACAATGTGCATTGATAGATATGTTAATCGTTTTACTGAAAATTCAAAGAAATAGCGAGAGGCGTACTCAGAAGGGAGTAGAATCCTGTTCATTCATGTATTTATTTATGGGCATTGTCTTAGGGACTCGAGCACTTGCTTTTTTGCAATACTACAGTGAATTTATATATTTTTCTTTGTAACAGCTCGCCATGCAGAAGCATGGAATTATCTTTTTTGAACACGAGTAATATGTCATTACAGATCATGCATTTAGAAGCTGTGCATAATGCACCATCAGGAGGCAGATTCAGGAATATCTAGAAACCTTAAGATAAGTATACAACAAAATTAGTTGAGCTCCTTACTTATGCTTCTCTTTCTTTCCTCTCCCTTCGGTGGTAGTCAATTGGGGTAATTTTTTAAACCAGTCGAAGTGGCTTCTTTTCCTACATGCGTTTTTGAAGCCTTAGCAACACTGTCTAACGTTGAAGTCTTAAAATCACATATTTTTAATGTTGTATTATGCTCTTCCTACTTTTGCATGATCAAGCTGCCATAAGCAAATAAAGGAAGTCTTATATTAAAAGGCTCGTCCATAATGTAGAATATGTATGCATGTCAAATAGTGTGTTGCCAACAGTGTTCTGAAATATATGGAGATTTGAAGGTTCATACAATGAATAGGTTTTGTAGTGCTGATGTTTCTTTCTCTCATCAGAGTTCATGGCACGTGGAAGCATATATAACTTTCTGCACAAGCAGAATGGTTCTTTTAAGCTTCCTTTGTTACTGAAAATGGCGATTGATATATCCAAGGGCATGAGCTACCTGCACCAAAATAATATTATTCACAGGGACTTGAAAACTGCCAATCTTCTCATGGATGAACACGAAGTAAGGATTACCTAAAATTTCATATTTTCTAATTATTATGCATCATTATATATCATATATGTTCTTTCTGTATGCATTGGTATGCCAGTCTATCGATTTGTTCTTATATATTTTGTGGGTGATGGGCGCGAATCTTATGATATCATACTGAATTTCAGGAACACTAGCACTTCATAGATACTCAAAATTTTATTCCTTTACTATTTTGTTAGATCGTGTTTTGTTTAGGTGACTTCTTATTCTTGTTTATATTTTTTGTGGGTGATGGGTGCGAACCTTGTGATATCATGCAGAATTTCAGGAACACTTCATAGATACTCCTTATTTTATCCCATTACTGGTTATTTAGATTGTGCTTTGTTTAAAGTGATTTGTGCATTTGTGTCGCCCTTAATCGAATTTTATGAGCTCTAGTATATACGGATATGACTTGAGGTCTTATGGGTGGAGGATTTGTGTTGATTGATTTTATTCTTAATTTTTGATGTCATGATGGAAGATTAAAGATGAGTTTCTGTAGTGGATACATCTCATGTTTGCGGTAGTGTGGTTTGTAGATTGTACCTTGTTTGTGGATTGAAAGTTCATCCACATATATAACAAAAATAAATGTATCAGAAACATTTGATTGGCTTCAGTTTCTCTATCATCATTGTGTTTTACTTGCCATTTCACTTGAAATCAAGGGTTTTCTTTTGTGAGGTTCTACGGACAAATTATGTTTGCATATTTCCGTCTCACTTCAAAGTTTAATATTGTTGGACAGGTTGTCAAGGTTGCTGATTTTGGAGTGGCCAGGGTTCAGACTCAGTCTGGAGTAATGACTGCAGAAACTGGAACATACCGTTGGATGGCACCTGAGGTACTACTATGTTTCCATTCCCACTCACTATAGACATATCTTTGAATTTGGATGTTCAATAAGTATATCACTGTGTTTCTTTCGTCTTTTCAGGACCTTTTTATATACCTTTTTGGCATCATATTAGTGGTTAGAGTAAATTACAAAAACCATCTGCAATTGGCCAATTGCTCAATCTCCAGAGATTACCCGGTTCTCATTTTGCACATTTAATTGATTGCCAATTTCAATCCTCCCTGATAACGACTAATTGGTAGCGTTGCATCATTCATGTCCATGGCACATGAAAGAGTTATAGGAGTAAAAATGTCAAAATAAATAAAGACGTAAGATAAAAACAAACCTCTATCCGAACCGCAATTCGTCATCTTCATCTCTCCATCATCATTTAACCTTGAAAAAGCTTGAACCTCTTCCATTGGTTCATTTAGTTAGTCCTAACAAAACTAAATAAAAGAAGAATTAGGGGGTGTTTGGTTAGAGGTATTAAGCAGAAATTAATGGGATTGAAAATAAAAGAAAGTGTTTGGTTTTTTATAATATAATGGGCTCATTCCTCCAAAAGCCCAAATTTTCATTCCAGGTCAAATTGGGGGATGAAAATTCATTCCCATTTTCATTCTCTAGCCTGAACCAAACAGCCCCTCAGTGGCAATGTAGCATAGAAGAACTCATACCAGCCCCAATGAGGCATTGATTCCTTAGCATCACAAGAGCACTTTTACTTTAGGGTGTGTGTAGAGAGAGATAGAGGTAGAGAGATAGAGAGCATACACATACACATACACAAATATGCAGCAGCTCCTTAAATGTCCTCTTCATAAAGTGAACTATGATAAACACCAATTTCTTACCCAGCAATGACATTAGAACAGTTTACAAGAGCACTACAAAAAAGTAGAACTTTTTCCAAGTTCCTACTACTTAGTAGTAATAAATCACAAACAAAGCAAGTATCATTTTTCCCTTTTTTTTTTTTTGTCTCTGTGTGTGTGTGTGTGTTTTNCAGGGAGGAAGAAGTGTGGCTGTTGCCCCTGATCGTAAGCCCTTCATAATCCATATTGAGCATTTTGATTCAAAGGAAATGGGAAGTTTCTTGAAAATGTGTTTGAATTGGTGTCCTGAAATGAAGATTATAATTCCCTTTCAACACCCAACCATCAAACCCTTGTTCTTCCAAAAATGAGAACTAAAAGTTCTATATTATGGATTGCATTTGATTTATCAATGTAGAAGATTTATGTTTTTTTTTTTGTAAATATGGATATAATCGTACATTTTATTTATGAAGTTTTGGAACCTTAAAATAGTTTTAAGATTAATATTTAAAGAAAGAAAATGGATATTGATGATGATAGCAGTACATCGAAATGTGTCTTGTGCAATGCACAGGACTAACTTAACAACAGACGAACAGTTCTGTCAAGGTTGACGAAATTTGACAATAATTTACACTCGGCATAAAATTACATTTGGAGCATTGATTTTGGAGATTGACTTACAGCCCAGGTATGGTTTTTGTAATCTACTCTATTTATTAGTAATAGCCTCACTGGAAACACCTCGGTGAATTCTTGATGTATTTATCTTGTGCCCCCACTCAAGGTTAAGTAAGGTGACTGGCAAACTTATTTCGCCTGCCAAATTCATTTTTTTATTCTCTAGGAAGAATCTTGTTAGCCATTCCAACTGCAACATGTTGTAATCGTGTCAAGTAAACCAAACCAATCAAAAGTGGGTCCGGGGGAGGGGATGCACGCAGACCTGTCCTCTATTCCGAAAGGGGTCCTTTGGTCAAATGACTTCTTAACAAATTTTTTATTTTATAGATCCATAACCTTCTTACAAGTTTGAGGATGTCACTACTTAACAGAAACTGCCACTTCCATACACAAATATGCCTAGAAACATGTCAGGAGGTCATAGACTTAAAAAAAGCACCTTTCAAGAGGTCATTTTGCTATACAACCCACCCCAAAGGGTAGAGTGATTGTTTACGTGAAGATCACTCTGGCTTGTGAACTCTTGAGCCATTCTGACTGCAACAATATTGTAACTGTGACGAGTAATATCGCCATGTGGTGGTGTTCAGTAATTTTCTTATGCTCAGCCATTTGATACTCATAAGAAGCCGTCTATCAGCATCTTTTATCCTTTTATATTTTTTCCTTGCATTGGTGGGCTGGTCCAAGTAACAGTTGTTATGAAATTGAAGGTTATCGAGCACAAACCATATGATCATAAAGCAGATGTTTTCAGTTTTGGGATAGTGCTATGGGAGCTTTTAACGGGCGAAGTGAGTCGCTCTTCAAACAAGCGCGCAAAAATTTCTTATGTTTTTATTTTTTTATTTTTCTTATGTTTTAAATGTTCTTACAGGTTCCTTACTCATACTTAACCCCATTACAAGCAGCGGTTGGCGTTGTACAACAGGTAATCTCCCTTTCCTTATCTGAAATCACATATTGTTGCTCAATATTTAAAGACCATTTAGTAATTACTTTGTCCTCCCAGATATAAATGTCCACATTTATATTTTGGTTTGTCCCAATGTAAGTGTCAATTTTCAGAAATAAGTGCTTACTTTCCAATTCTACTCTTAATTATGAGATGGCGAAGTTCATTGCTCACTATATTATCAAGGGTAAAATTGTCATTTAGTTAATTAAAAAAGTGAAATAATTACACATCCCTAAGACTTTTTCATCGTGGACATTTATTTTGGGAGGGAGGGGAGTGTTGTGGATCGATATCAGTATATTGGGTAAGAAGGTATGGGGTTCGACTACACCGCCCACCTGCCCATGTGATGCTCGATTTACCTCCCCCATGATGACCATGAGGCCAGTATAGTAGGGCCGCTCGAGAGGGTAGTAAACCTTTTTTTTGCAGAACTTATTGATAAAAAGAAACGTTGCTAATTGGAAAGTTACTGAAAATGGAAAAGTAATGTGATTTATGTGAAGTAGAATGAAATAATTAATTTTGGTGGAGATTTGGGAGATTTGTGTTGCAAAGCATAACAAGCGATGGGTGTACCAGGGTTTACGACCTACAATCCCTAAGCAGACTCATCCAAAGCTCACCGAGTTGCTCGATAGCTGCTGGCAACAAAACCCGGCATCAAGACCCGATTTCACCCAAATTCTGGACAAACTAAAGCAATTAGCAAAAGAGGTCTGCCCTTGTTCTAGCCTTTCCGTTATTTTATGCTGATTTGCACTCAAAAAGTAGATTATGATGTCCTTACGAGGCTTTATCTCGTAAAGGAGGTGATCATCTTTACAGAATGGGCGTTAGAGCATCTCTAATAGATTAGAATAAAAAATCAAAATCTAAAAAAAAATGAAAAATCAACTCTATCACTTTATCTGTTTTGGAGATTACAATATTAATTATATTATTAAATTATTCAATATATCAAATTAAATATTACTTTTCTCCCCTTTAAACATTTAATTTTAAGGATTCTTATTGATGGAAATAATAAACGTTCATTTTTTTCCTCTTAATCAATCATTTTTTGGGACTTGTCCAAATTTGGAGAATTTAACTCTCTCCTACTTTCTTTATAATTTTTTTAAATATATATTTTAAGAAACTTTAGAAATATATATAATATATAAAATATATTTTGATGATATAATCAATTTCTATAAACTTTTTAGAATTTTCGTTCAACATTTTAGAGAATCGATGCTCTATTACTTGTGGCTGGTCTTACACTTTTTGTAAAAATAAAAATAAAAAATGAAGAATTATAATGTAATGATGTGAATAATAATAGGTTGGAAACGGGGGAGAAGGGCAAAAGGAGAAATCGATGGGTGGATTTTTCGCTGGTTTTAAAAAAGGGCATCATCACTGAGGCAGGCAGCAGCCAACAGTTGGTTCTTCCTTTGTAATTTGTGTAATCATCATGATGATGTTTTTCATGCACAAACTCCTCTGCTCATATTATACTGTAGAGTGTTGTTTTTATTCTAAACCCCATCTTCTTATGTTTTCATTATTATATGATTCCCATGTATTTTTATTACCCTGGGTTTGTTACTCATTCAAACTTTACGGTAGAATATTGTAAAAGTACATAAAATACAACTTTTATGGCTAACATACTGTGAAGGTCAACATATTTTACAATGTTTGATTGTGAATGCTTACTATTAATATGGTCTCCCTCATTTACCGGGTAAGACTTTCGGTCATTGCCTTATTCTTATCGGGTAAAATTCTTTGTCCTTGCCATACTCATCCGGTAGGGTACATGACTTTTTTAGTCACACATTGCATCTGATGGGATTTAACGTTCAAAGCCCTAGATGCATACTCTTTTATCTACATTTATAGATTTACCCCCATACGTGTATATACTGCACTTCGTACTTCTTCTAAAATCTTGTACAATATCGAGAGTATATTGTACTACTTGATAGATCCCTTTGTCTGTGGTTTTCTTTCGTTTCGAGGTTTCCAAGTAAATCTCCGTGTCTCCCTACTATTTACTGTTTTATGCTTATTTTATTGATTGCGTTAATGTATCTTTATACACCAAACATTTCCACAATTTGTATAATTTCATTTTATTACTGTAATTCTTTCAACAATTTTTATGATCCAGTTTTGATATCATAGGGGTGTTTGAGATTGTTTATTTGAAACCACTTATGTTTTCTATAAAAGCATTTATCAACTTATTATAAGTCTAAAGAATTTAACTTCTTTAAAAACTTCTTATTACCAGTTTGGTACCGGTATAAATTGTTTATCCAAACACTCAAAAGTGCTTATTACCGGTGTCATACCGGAATAAGTCAATAAGTTGTTTTTATAAGCAATCCCAAACACCCATGAAAGGCCATGTGGGACAAATATAACTTAACTTATTTTTTGAGCTTGTTACATAAGCCAAACCTCCTTTGAATGAACAAAAAATAGCTTATAAACCAATTTATTGAAACGCTAAACATTTCAATAAAATTTTCTTATCACTTTCTTTCAATTATTATTAGCCGGTAAGTAATATTAATTTTTATTAACTATTAACTATTAATAAATAATACTTGTAAATAGCAATTATCAATTAATTTTAATGGTAATTATTCATTAATATAAATTATTATTTTTTAATCGTTTTTCAATATAATTAGTTTTCAAAAACAAATTCAAAAATGTTTTTTACATTATATACAAGTCAAAGTTATATTTCTTTTGATTAATAAATTATTTTACTAACTTTTAATCTATTTATTATAAATATTATTTGGTTATACAAATACAAAATATAATAATTATGTGAAATGCTAAAATTGACCAACTTTTTAATATGTCATTTTTAGTCATTTTACATTTTTCAATTAGCTTATCAGCTAATTTTTATCAAACGTGGTTAGTTCATCAACTAGCTTACAAGTTATAATTAACAATTACCTTATTTGTTTAGGCTTCGTTTCGTAAATTGGCTGATAAACAAGTCATTGATAAATAAACTAGTTGATAAACAGATCATGTTTAATAAAAAATTGCTAGTAAGCTACATACAGTATAAAATGACCTATGCGTATATAAAGGACATTTATGTAAAATATAAGCGGTATAATAAAGAAAAAGATGAAAAAAAAAATACACGTAAAGCTTATAGCTTACCAAATTGATGTGAAACCGATCCAATTATTGGATGTACATAAAAGTTAATGAAAATGACTGAAAGTAAAGATATATGTAAAGATGAAGGTAGATGGAAAAGTCAACTAATCCAAAAATTCAAAAGATGCTACGTTTTTCAATTTCGACAAGTGACGAGCGTGCAACCAAACGAAACGTCTGATCTTGTCCATAAATGGATCAAGAACCATACCAGTATCATATGCTAGCTATTATATGTGCATTATATCTAATTATTTACAATCTAATATTATTCAGACTTAATTGCTTGCATAATTAATAATTCATGCTCCTAATAATCAGGACTCGATCGGAAGCCCATTTTTAGTCCACACGACATATCCACCCGCTATATCCATCACTCTCGTGAAACCTTGCACAAATGCACGAGAGTTCAATAACCTAACTGAGGCATGTATACAAAGTCATCCGATTCAGTTATAATTAGCTAATTCAATTAGAACAAACTGATAACAATTGGATTGCATCCGATCCAAAATTTCAACATCCAAAATGGATGGGACGGTTTTTGGATGGAACCGAACAAATTCAATTCAAGCCAATAATCTATCCAATTAATAAATATATATACTTAACGCTCCCTCCCTCCCAAAATAAATGCTCACAATGAAAATGACGGTTTTTAAAAATGTGTAATTATTTCACCTCTTTTAATTTATTGATGACAATTTTACCCTTAACAACCGAGAGAGTAATAAATTTATTCGTCTCATAATTAAGGGTGTAATTGGAAAGCAGACAACTACTTTAAAAAGGAACAATAATTTTTTGATAAACTAAAATAGAAATATAGACAATTATTTTAGGACGGATAGAGTAATATTTTATGATATCGTTTTTAGTTGATATTAGTATGTAGTGGTTTTTAATAAATTAGAAAAATACATGATAATTGTTTGAAAAATTGTGGATTAATCGATTTAATCAAAATCCAATCTAATCATCCACTGGATAATTTGGATTGGTTGTTCCACTGTTGATTGGATCTGATAGGATGACAAAAACCAACATTCAATAATTGGATAAGATCCACCTAAAAGACTCCGATCATTTGGCATTCAAGACTCCATTAAACATTATGCACACTTACAACAGAAAGAAGATCGGTGGCAGCCATAAACTACCTTGTACCTGATTGGCACCCATGTTCATTACATACAGATTCATATAAGCAGTTTAAAGATTGATTGCAATCTCAAAGAACTCGACCCTCAAATCAGGATTTGTAACTTACAACGATAATTCCATCATCTTTTCCGAAGTGGGACAAGACTTGCTCCACAAAATTGGGGTTTTTTTTGTCATCCCTTCTATAACATATATATCAACAAGAAATCATTACAATCCAAAATAGAATTCAGAAATACAATGAAGAAAAAATCGAGCATAAGCCAAAAACTAGCTACCCATCAACCACGTGACCATATTACTGCAGTTCCAAATCTGCCAGACACAGATCAACAAACGTCATTTGGAATCTTGACTCTTTTTATAAGCTATCTTCTAGAAAGTGATGATGGTTTGGTTAATTAGGGCAAAAATAGCCAACGTTTTAACCAATTTTTCTCGTTTGAATTTTGGTGGATCATATTTCCATGATGCCACCATACATCCCTTATACCATGTTTTTTTTTAGTCTATGATCTTAAATGATTTTTTAATTAGATTTATATTTTAAAAAAATAGATTTATATTTAAAGAAAAGTGATTTAATGAAAAGAAGAGAAATAAACCTAATCCAAGTAAGGAATTTGATTGGCCCAAATTTTTTTGTCAACATGTAAGGAATATTAATGGCCTCAATACCATGTCCACCAAAGAACTCTCCCCAAGTCTCCTACAAATACAATACACAATATACCATCAACAATTTATACCCCTAAACAATTACATAATGAATTCTAGACCCTTCAACTTCCAGTTACCTGACATCCAAATAACGGTGACCGGCTTGATGAAGCTCATGTGCCACTCGTACCAACACCGGAACTGTAGCCATCTAACTGTTTCACAGTTATCCATCACATCAACAATAACAATGGGGTTTCTGAGTTCTAATTCAATTAGGGGTTTTAATAAGGAATTTGTTAATCTGTAATAGAATTAGATTTGAATTTTGTGTCGAATCAGTAAATGAATCAACATTCAAATTCATATTGAATCGAAGATGTTTTTGATCCAGAAAAAGCCCTGAAATCCTTTGCTCAACTGAAGTTCAACTTTCTCTTACCAATGCCATTACCATTTCTACGGCTGGCATGGATTCGATAACTGAGACAAACACAATTCAAAGTTGGAATTCCTAATTACAAAAATACCATTAATTAATTCATCAAATTATTCATTTACGTTCGAATTCAAATTACAGAAAACCTTCCAAGGGGAACTGAAGAGATCAGAGAAGAAACAACAACCTATGGGGTTTTGTGTAGATCGATGGTCTTGGTGTTTAATGAACAAGATATATATGTGGTGGAGGATGGGCAGTCTATTGTGATGTAGATTTATATGAATGTGAATTATGAGCTTGCTTTGCTTTTGCTTGGTGTGGATGATTCCACAAGTTTTGGATAATTATTTGTTATCGGAGAAATATGTTAAAGACAAAAATCTTATCCAATAAAAGACAAGAATCTTACATGTTAATACAATTACTTGGTCAAGAGTTAGGGGGTTCTTTGAGACATGTATGGATGGAGATGTATGTATTGATAAAGTTGTCTGTATGTGATAACATAAATTGTAGAGGTTGAAAAAATCGGAAATCGTAGAGAATGAAGAAATTGCACAACCTTGGAAGCAGAGGTTGGAGAAATCGAAAATCGCCCAGCCGCTTGGAAGGCGGAGATTGAAGAAATATGATAAGAGATCTGGAAGAGAAGATGGACATGAACCGGGTTGAAGATGGAAGGAATCAAATTTGATAAGAGATCCGGAAGGGAAGATGGACGTGAACTGGGTTGAAGATGGAAGGAATTGCAAAACCCCTTGGAAGTGTTTCTTAAAAATAGGTTTCTTTATTGAAGGGTAGTTGGGGAATTAATGAGAAATTAAATGGCTGAGTTTAAATGAATATAAGTTACCAGCTGAGTGATTAAATCACGAGCTGACCAAATAAGCTATAATTGAACAATTATTTATGGTTGAACGAATAAACCATATAGGCTACATAACCCATTAAGCTACAACCGAACAACCCATTAGCTTGTATGAAATGTTCATAAAAAATCTATTTTATTGTTTGAGAATCTGACATGGGTGATATTTCTTGCCCATAAGCAATTACTCATCATACATTTGGTATATGACCCTTAATTATATATTTATTTTAATTTGTTTCAAAAATAAGTTTTTTTTTGAAAGAAAATATCTATTTTCAAATTTTATCTAGTCATTACATGGTATAAGAATAAAAATGGTGTTGCTAT